AGCTGAGAAAATAAAGAGAGTTAGAGAGAGAGAGAGAGAGATATAGAGACAGAGACAAAAACAGAGACAGAGATAGAGACAGAGACAGAGACAGAGACATAGGCAGGGATGGATGCAGGAGGAGAGAGAGACAGAGACAGAGACAGAGACAGAGACAGAGACAGAGACAGAGAGAGAGAGAGAGAGACAGAGACAGAGACAGAGACAGAGACAGAGACAGAGACAGAGACAGAGACAGAGACACAGCCACAGCCACATGCAGGCAGGCAGGCAGGCAGGCAGGCAGGCAGACGAGGACGAGGCCTGAAGGTTGCAAGAGGAGCAAAAGAAGGAGAGGGGAAGTCAGAGACTATACTGCAGATAGGGCGAGAGCAGAAGTTGATTGAGAATTTGGCTGGGAGGGAGAGGGAGAGGGAGAGGGAGAGGGAGCGAGGAGATGCTAAACAAATTCACGGGCGAGAAACATGATATGAAAAGCATCACAGTAAATTCTTACCAGAGCCAGTATTGTCACCATGTGGAAACAGTCCGATCAAGTGCTTTTGAGGCGTTTGTAGTTGTGAGGAAACTGTGACGCTCGGTGCAGCCCTTCTTCGTTGCTTCCCCGCCATGTACCTGCAAGCCGCTTTCTCGTTGCTTGCGCTCTGCATTGCTCTGCCTGTGGTCAAAAGGTACCAGATGTCAAGCTTTGTTGAAGTATCTCCCGACACGAGGGCAGGTTGTTGCGAGGGCGGGTGGACTACTCTGGGAAGCACGTCTTGATCACAGGAGGTTCTTCCGGGTGCTCCCGCTACTGCATGCTCCTCCCTCCTGTTGCTGAGGTCTGCTATCAGGATCGGTAAGAGCATAGCGCGTGAGTTTGTTCGCAATGGAAGCCATGTCACCATCCTAGCTCGTACGGAATCCAAGTTGAAGGCAAGCATGCCGGACTCCTCCTGCTCTGTTCACCCCTTCCTCTTCATCATCGACCACCTCACGTTTCCATCCCCATCCCTCTGCTCCTTCTCTCCTTGTCCATGCTTGAATGTGCCTCATCAATTTGCAGGCAGCATGCGAGGAGCTCAGGAAAGGAGCGACAGGAGCAGAGCAGAAGATCGAGTATGCTGTCGCTGACGTCTCCGACTTCCAAGCAGTGAAGGCTGCGGTAGAGAGCTCCGAGAAGAAGGTGAGGCGACAGGGAAGAGAGGGAGGAGAAGAGGAAAAGGAGAAGGGGAGGAAGAGGTCAGGGGAGAGAAATGAAGGAGGGCCATGGGGAGAGTTGCGGATGATGTAGTGGAGGAATGAAACGAGCTGCAGGCAGGACCGATCGATGTCGTGATCGCCAATGCTGGGTCCTCTCAGCCGGGATATTTTCTTGAGCAGGTGAAAAGAACCAGGAGGAGGGGAGGAAGGAAGGAGGGGGATAGCAGAAGAAGAGGCGGAGGGAGGGGGTGGGGGGAAGACGAGGAAGAAGTGGAGGAGGGAGAGGGAAGTGGAGGAGTGAAGGGGAGGGGAGCTGAAATTGTGTTTAGGACGTTTCCGTCTTCCGTAAAGCGATGGAAGGGAATTACATGGGAACCGTCAACATCATCAAAGGCAGGCAGCCTTTCATCCTCTCAAGTCGATGCTGATTAACTCTTCCTCCCTCTCCTCCTCCTCCTCCCTCCACTCCTCCTCCTCCTCCTCCTCCCCCTGGCAATA